CCTTGATAAACTTGTATGTCTTTGTTCTCAAGTGCAGATGATTTATAATTGTAATTGTCACTACGTAAGGGTAGGTTATCAACGCCATTAGCTTTGAGTATGCTAAATTGTAAGAAGAGGTGCTAGCCAGTGACTATATGCTAGAGATCTTTTAAATCTTTAAGAATTCTACAAAAAAGTTAAGAATTTTTAAGCATTTGGATTGCTTATCAGAGCTAGTCACATTTATTTCATCATTGGAAAAATGAGTATCTTAATTTTTGCTGACATGTATTTACAAAATATAGATGCTTTCAGTGGTTTGAATTACTGTAATAATCTCTTCTGCCTTAGTAAGAAAAGGTTGTACTATTTAGACAATTTTGGCTAAAACCAGAAGCAGAAGAATTCAAAGGCCAGGCATGGTGGCTTACACCTGTAATCCTTGTACTCTGGGAAGCTGAGGCAGGTGGATGGCCTGAGCTCAGGAGTTTAAGACCAGCATGAGCAAGAGTGAGATCCTGTCTCTACTTAAAATGGAAAAAATTAGCCAGGCGTTTTGACAAGTGCCTGTAGTTCCAGCTACTTGAGAGGCTGAGGCAGGGTGATCATTTGAGCCCAAGAGTTTGAGATTGCTGTGAACTAGGACACCATGGCACTCTACCCAGAGTGAGACTCTGTCTCAAAAAAATGGGGCGGGGGAGGGCAGAGCTTGTGGCTCAGTGGGTAGGGCACTGGCCACATATACCAAAGGTGGTGGGTTCAAACCCTGCCCTGGCCAAACCGCAACAAAAAATAGCCGGGTGTTGTGGCGGGCACCTGTAGTCCCAGCTACTCTGGAGGCTGAGGCAAGAGAATCACCTAAGCCCAGGAGTTGGAGGTTGATGCAAGCTATAATGCCACCGCCCTTTACTGAGGGTGATAAAATAAGACTCTCTAAACAAACAGACAAAAAAAAAAAAAAAAGAACTTACTCTAACCTGTTGGATTTCAGTTTATGGAGCTTTTTTAGTTTAATAGAAGTGAAAAATGGAAATCCATCTTCTGATGCCTTATAAATATAAGCCTGAAAAAAAAATTCATAACAAAATACCACTTTTGTATAGATTTTTCTATATGATCTCCACTTGCTATGTTAAAGAACAAAGATATTAAAGGATCCTCTTCTACTGCGTCATTTAATGGGCTAGGTGAACAGCCGGATAGGGAGCTGTGATACTAGTGTTAAAGAGAAGAGAGCTGATTTTTCTTCTGGTAGGGTAGTGCTGGTGCCATGCCTTTCTTGAATTTGACAGGTCATCCTTAACATTCACCTATAGACTATGCCAGATAAACCCACGTTCTCATTTTAATGTTTTAAGGAATAATTATGTTTCACCAAATTGCAGGAGGTTGATGGTAACAATAAAGTGATATAAAATGCTGATGTCATTATAGCTTGCACAAGGGAGACCATTAGGCTAAGAGTCAATTTTAATTGAAAGTATCCATTTTTCTGAGAATTAAATTGGAGAATAGAGAAGGAATATTTGGAAGGACATTGTAGGCATGTATTAGAAATATGCTAAACTCGGAATTAAAGATTAAAAGTAACAGGTATAATAGAACACTGAACTGAATGACAAAGACAGATTCTAGTCACAGCCCTTATGGTCATTTCATTTCAGAGCCTCACGTTCTTCCAATTAGATAATTTCTAGGATTTGTCCTATATCTAACAAGAGTCTCTGAACTCTCAGGTACTGAAGCTGAATTATTATACATTAACTCAAATTGCAATTTTATAGATAAGTAAAAGTGTATCAGATATACACTTTGCAAAATATTATTGCAAAATATTATTGGTCTTATTACAATAACTTGATTAAGATGTCTATGTTAACTCCAATAAATAAAATGAAAGCTTTCTGAATATTTGCAAAATGACTGTCAATTTCAACACTGTGCATCAAAGTACCATATGTGCTAAGGGTGAGGAGCACTGGTTGGGCTACTACGTCAGCTGTAAATTGAGAACTGCTTGTTCTATGGCTTTGTTGTTAAAAAAAAAATCTGCTGGCTTTTAATGTGTACTTTAAAATATATTCACGTCTGGGAGAGAACTTTTAAAAACATGCTCTGTTTAATTAAAAAAAAAAAGTATTTAATAGTAATCTCCAAGAATGTAGGTGAGTCCACTGAACTAGCTATCCAGTAGAACCAGTGATTAAATCTCAGTGTGCATGTACATGATACACATGGCATTTCTGGGCTGTTGATGTAGTGATCTCATTATAATATCTAAACGTTTGAATCCAATTCAATATTTTTTAAGCATAGAATCTGTCCTTTCTGACACAGATGTGAGCATAAAATGTTATGTAGCAGTGTACTAACAACTTTGTTATCAGTACCAGTGATAGTTGTGAGAATTAGCAGCCCAAATCTGAAACACTTCTGGTCCCAAGCGTTTCAGATAAGGAATACTCAACTCACCCAGGATTCCTTTCCTATGTTTGAGTCAGTAGAAATTAACCTTGCCCCAGACCACAAAATTTCCTATTTTGTTACCGTATCTGGTGAGTTAAACAGACTCTTTTTAGTACCTGTTCCCTTATTGACAACCTCTAGTCTCTCAGCATACCGTATCTTTGATGTTAAACCAACTCTGGAGGAAGCATTTAGGGTCCTCAGTTAATAGTTTTGGTTCATATTAAAGTGGATGCCTAAATAACAGTACTGTACTTTGTAAGATCTCATGTCCCCCGCCCCTGCTTTCTCTTACCCAAGACTCTGGAGAGTGATCTGGGCTAGACAATGGCTTGGGAGCAGAAGCTAGAATGAAAAGGGAATCTGATAGCTGAAACTAAAGGCCAGAGCTTTTACCTTCTGTGTGTTTGGACTGGACTACTGCTCAGAGTGGTCCAATCTAGCACTGCAAGTTAGGGAAGAAAAAAAGACATAGTCAGCACTGTACTAATCACAGGGACTCTCCATTGATCTCTGCCCTTTTGAAGTTACCTCATTGTAAGATCCAGTGGTCAGGAGTATGCTTTGTTCATATAGGTTGAGACATTGTTACTCTAAAGTGCTCCAGAATCTGAAATTTGAGTGCCAGCATAATGCCACAGGTTTTATGGCACCTGACCTCTTGCAACAGGTTGCAGTCAAAATGTAGGCGTATAACACACAGCTCATCCAGCGTCCCCAAGGAGGTTACTATATAGTTGACCTTTTAGTTAAAACACTGCATCATTTATGGCAACTGAAAGCCTGCTGTCCTTTGTTGTTGCTGTTGTTTAACTGTGGATATAGGTATTCTGGTGGTGCTACTGTGCTGCTTCGTTACCCTGAATGCATTCTTTTTCACCTATTAATCATACATCATTTTTTTTTACTGTTATTTATGTGTAAATAAGTGTAAGAAAACGATGGCTTATCGGTAGCATATAAAGTCGGAGTTGGGAATGATGGTGATGCCAAACAACCACAGATTGTCCACGTGGGTGGCTGAGATAGTGACACTTTTGCTTTCTAATGGTTAAATGTACAAAACTTTGTTTCATGCGCAAAACTATTAAAAATATTGTATTAAATTACCTTCAGGCTGTGTGTACAAGGTATATACGAAACATAATATGAATTTTTGTGTTTAGTCTTGGGTCCCCATTCCCAAGATATTTACAACATATATGTAAATGTTCTAACATCTGAAAAAAAATCCCAATCTGAAACACTTCTAGTCCCAAGCATTTCAGATAAGGAATACTCAACTCACCCAGTATTTCTGTTCCTTATATCTATTCCTTCTCCCCCTGAAAACTCTTGTTAGGACAGGTAGGGAGGGCCATGTAAAGGGGTGAGGAGACTAATCTAAGGGTTCATTCTGGTGTAGTTTGGGGAGCTGTAGTCTGAGAGTTACCATTTAGGCTTTTAAATTTTTTATTAAAATTATACAGAATTATAATTACTACAATTCTATAAATATATATTTGTAAAATATATGATTATTATACAAAAGTATAAATAGTAGCATAACGAACCTCCTGTATTCATCCAGTCATCTCTTCAAAAGATTTTCCATTTCTTACTGCCATACACTGTTTACATGGGCCCCTTCTTCCCTCTGGTCAGAAGAATGGGGCGAGTAGAATATATCATTCTTTTTATTTTTTTCTAACCCCAGCCAACCTCAGAATGTATCATTCTTAAATCTTCTGTACTGAGCGCACAGCCTGTAGCTATTGGCCTTTGATTACCATTTGTGGTACTGCGTGATATTCCCAGACTCACAGGGCATAATTTTAAACTGTTCTCAGTAAATATCTTTTTAGCCTTAAAACTCTTGATTATGTTTTTTCTTTCACTGAGGTGTCAGCCCCCAATCCTTGAGAATTATCTATTAGCAATCTTTTCTGAATGGGTCTTTTAAGCCTTGTGAGCTGACAAGTTAGAATGTTTTGGTTTGATTTAAATATGAGGATTATATTTCAAACCTTTGGAGGTATGGAGGAGAAACTTTAAGCTCATTGAATGTACTCAGTTTTTTGTTTTTTTTTTCCACAGAAGTACCTTTGTGCCTTTAAGGCTGAGGACAAGCTATAATATTTGTCTATGAGTCTAAATATTTGTGAAAGCAGAGAAACCCTGTAACTTTTGTGTACTGATGCGTATGAAATTTTAAAATATTTCTTGGACATGAATAAGAACATGTTGCGCCCATTCATTACGCTAAAGGAAGAGACTCCTTTATTAAAATTTTGATACAGGCTTGGCACTTGTAGCTCAAATGGCTAAGGTGCCAGCCACATAAACCAGAGCTGGTAGGTTTGAATCCAGCCCGAGCCTGCCAAACAACAGTGACAACTACAACCAAAAAATAGCCGGGCATTGTGGTAGGTGCCTGTAGTCCCAGCTACTTGGGAGGCTGAGGCAAGAGTTGGAGATTGCAGTGAACTGTGATGCCACGGCACTCTACCCAGGGCGACAGCTTGAGGCTCAGTCTCAAAAAAAAAAAAAAAGATAAAATTTTGATACAATTTTTTCACTTTATTTTCAAGCATCTTTGGAATAATTCTAACTCTTCCAGGTGCTTAAAGTGCCCATACAAGATGTAGGTTAGTTCTGCCCTTAACCTAAGGTGTATTAGCAATACAACAGTAGGCATTCTTGTTAAATTAGTTTGAGAAATTTATTTTGTACAAGTTATAATCCCTCTGCACAGTGAACAAATATATTACAAATCTGTGGTTTAAAAAAGTATTGCCATTTCATAGTGTCATTTATGCTATTGTACGATAATTGTGTTTCTTTTATCCATTTGAATTGTATGCATATCAATTCATTTGATTGAAAATTTAGTTTTTGAAAAATAATTGAACAGATTTTTCTAAGTCATCAATAAAATGCACAGTGCACAAGTTTAGGCTGACCACTAACCTGTTTGTGACAGCGTTAGGCAGAAGTTTCTAACAGTTGCTTTGCTTTATAGAATTGAAATGTCTTTTACTGGCAACTCTTAGATATGTGAAGGCAAGAATTGTAGCTGTAGATTAATCATATCCTCTACTTTTCCCTTGTGATCTGTACTGCCTGATTTGTGTGGTATTAAATTTCTTCTAAAAGTCCATAGGATGCTAGAGCAGAAGGGCTGTTAGAGTTCCCTTCTCACTCCGCTTTTCTTCTCTTTTGTGCATGAGTGGGGAAAAGGAGTCCAGAGAGGGCAATTTACTTGACCAGAGTAACACTGTAATCTCTTGACTCAGTGCTCTAGCCCTTCCACCTCTTGCTGAATACCTTTGGCCAGAGGACACTTAGCAAAACAGAGGTGAAACTTGAGTGATGCTGCTTGTTTGCAGTTTGCCAGGTAGCAGTTATTGTACATGCAGGATAAGGGAAGAAGATAAAAACCTGAGTTTGAGATGGAGTTTCTCCTTGCTGATCTGACTTCTTACGCTTCTTCATCCTTGCTTCACAAAGATAATTGGGCACTTGCTGCCCTGAAATAACAAGGTAAGTCTCTCACCTATATTTCCTTCTACATATGAATGAGAAATATTTACTTGGGTTTACAAAGTAATTTTCTAGTATTTATATCTTAATAAGGCTTTTTTGGAAAGTAAATTTATTGTTGCTGGTCGCTTGCTCCCATGCACACATGCAGCATGCATGTAAATATTACATATTTTTCTCTTAACAATAAAATTTGCTTATACCTTAGAATGGGGGAAGGGGAATTACTTATTTTCTTTCTTTTCCTGGTTATTGTCCAAACTAATGGGTTTTGTGGCAGACTTCCAATTTGTATTAAGGGTTTCAGAACTCTCACACTTCCTGTGGCAGTATTCCAGCTTTGTAGTTACTTAGGTCTTCTTCTGTATACCTTTTTGAAAGTGTTTTTTACTGGTTAGACTATATTAGAGAATGGAGTGGCATAGGGGTGGACATTAGATTCTAGGTTTGCCCTTTTTGTTTTTAAGTTCTTTGAGGAGGTCCTCTGTAGGGCTTGGGAGTTGGCTGCATTTTGACTTGTCTGAGGCTCAGTTTACCTGTGTTCATCAGTAGTGGAATCTGGAGCATTAGCTCATCGTAATACATATCTGGTCATCTTAGTAGTGGTTTTAAGTTCTACAGCAGAAGCACTTCACATCCTCATATGCTGTTTACGATAAAGTTTTACATCATGTTACAGCAGCTGGTTACAGTCCATTCTTTCTTTGATCATTTCATTTAAAAAGCATTCCATCAAAAAGCATAATGCACTTTAAGGAGCATAAACATGCTGTATCCACTTTTGTCTAATTTCTTCTACACTTTTAGGTTCCATACTACATCAAGGTCAAGATTTATGAAGAAATGCTTGAATGCAAGTACTCTTCTGAGTCAAGGGATACCAACCAACTAAAATTGGGGAGGCCATATAGCCATTTTTAGGGACACTTCTTAACCAGTCTCTGGTTGCTTACTTAAAAACATCATAGAGCCCCATTTCATATGGAATAACTCAGGTGTTGGGTGGACTAACGAGATCTGACAAGGCCAGGGCTGACTCGCAATGTTCTTAAACTTTGAATTGGTAAAGTTTTCTAAAGCTGCCCTACAAATTCCTATCATAGACTGAAAGAGACTGTTGTGCTTTGGAAATGTCCCCACCCCTCCACCCCAATCTACTGTTACTTATGGGGCAGAAGAAAGAAAGTTAATCTGTATTTATTAAAGTCTTGTTTTCAAAAAATGGAAGTTATCAGCATTAAACTATACACTAAACTCTGTAAACTTGGCTGTTGTAATTTGATGGACCAGACATATTGTACAGGTACTCCAGGATTGATATTAAAACAGTTCATGTCTATGTACTAATTATCTTCAGTAATAAAAACAGTTGATGGTAACAGCAACCAAAAGCACATCATACATTTTAGGTGCTTCAAAGTAATCCTTTCCCCTCCTGGGTTTGTAACACCTATATGCTTTTTTTAAGCATTGTATTTCAGATAAATATATATATATACACATACATATGCTATATTTAGCTGATGTTGATAAGTAGCTTTATCTTAAAATGTTTTTAAAAATCATGTAATCCAGGGCATTTGAGGGATGGGTATGGGTAATAGGATTTAACAGAATTCCTTGAACAATTATCCCAGTCCCACATGGAAACTCTTCTTTAGTTCCAGGAGAACGCAATAACTAACATGCAGCTGGAGTCAGTCTGTACCATTATTTCAAGTCAAGGGATTGTCTTCTTTCAGAAAGTCAGAGAATGTTCAGCAGAGCATGCTGTGACAGAGAGAAGCTTATCCCTTTTAAGACTGCTTGTCCTGGGTGGGTCCATTGGCAGGGCTCTGTCTTACTGGGAGAAGGTCATAGTGACCAGGAATATGGCTGTTCTTAGGTAGGTCGTATGGATTCTGGATATAGCTGGAGTTATGACCGCGGCCTTCTTGGACCACACTGACTGTGGGCTCTAAGGAATATAGTGAAAAATGGGTTCAGACAACAGATTAGCTTTAGTTGCCTTGTTGGAAGGGAAGAGAGTTGTATTTAACTTGGGGGAAGTGCTAGCCAGGCATTTATAAATTTATGACAAATATATGAGGGTTAGAGCTGAGGCTTGCTCAGGAGATGGAATATCTAAGTGAATTTACTGTCAACATCCCAACCTCTGGTCAACACCAAGAGATTTATTTCCTAAAGGTAGGGCTCTTATCGATGAGGGACATAAGTTAACCTGGGAAAGGTAGAAGATTTGGAAACCTGTAAATGTCAGTTCTGATTACTTTTTAAAAACTGAGATTTGTATCGAGTCACTTGAAATGTGTGTGTGTACTCATTCCCCACCCCTAGTGTTTCTGATTCATATTAGTCCTGGGGGTTTTTAAGCAGAGTTGACATAAGAATTTGACTTCCTGCTTAGAGAAGAGGGCAGTCCTAGGAAAGGCAGTTCAAGGTGGTTTCCTTAAAAAGCACAAAAGTGTGTATTGTCAAGACAGGGTGAATGGAGAGAGCTTGTCTTGTTTTTACTTCAGATGCTGCACTTATTTTGCCCTGATTTCACTAAGTTATTTAAGACACCTACCAACTTCATATATATTTTTATTACATGTCGACAAGGATGGCACATCTGTGTATGGAGACCCCTTGTGCACAGGCGACTTCATTTCTACATAGCTGCTCTCTGGAAGTTTGCAGGTGAGGATGGGTGGGTCCTTAATTGTTGCGTAAGGGTTTTCACTGCTATTCAAGGAACAAGTACTAGAACTGCACACGGATTCTTTCATGTAATCTGTAAGGCAAGAAAGATTTCTTAGGACAAGCAAGGATGTAGGTGTTTACATAAATAGCAGAAGCAGACTACCCTTGAGATTTTGTGCCTTCAGGGTCCTGGGGCTAGAAAAGCCTATAATATTCCAAGATTCAGTTACTTATTAAATGTGTTGAGGAGTGCTTTCCAGGTAGGCAGAGTTCTTTTTCCAAATAAACTGGGTTTTTTTGGATAAGAACATTCTTGTTTTTAGTAGTCAGGTATTTATTTGAGTTATTCATAATATGATTTCACATCTGTTATTTAATTTTTACAAAATCCAGCAAGGATACTTGGTAGCCTTCATTTTAGGGGCTGAAGTCCCAGAAAAATGAAGTGAATTAGCTGAGGTCAGACATCTATTAAATGATAGTGCCAAAGCTTGGATCCATGCCTTGAGACTCCTTGGCCTGTGCTTTTTTTTGTGATGTTACTCTTTTCTAGATTCTTTTTGATAACTGAGAAGCTTAAGCTGAGAAGTAGGCATGTGTGTTTTACTGCAGATGTCAACAATTTGGCAATCTCTTAAGTGGCAAACTCTTAGCAGTATTCCCTGCCCTCCAGGACCCCATGATCACAATAGGGCTGATTAAAGTGTAATAGAGCTATAAATAGCACCTTAATCTCAAGCCTGCCTTTGGGAAGTTTCCTAGCAAGCCTCTGGGGTTGGTTACCCTAGTGCTGTGAATGCTAACTGAAACCCATTCCAGCAGCAGTATCTTTCTCTGATAGTAGAATTCATGCTTCCTCTCCGGCCACCTCTCAATTGCATCATCCCCAAGACTTCAGGGTACAAAGGGATGTAAACTGGATTCCAAATACAAAATGAAGTAACTATAGCTTTATTCAAGTAGATCCCTTAGTGATTGGAAGTCATAGAAAGGGGACTCCCTCTTTCAACCTCTAAACCATTCCCCTTTGGGGGAAGATCAGTGCCTCCTGCAGATTGTTCGAAGAGAGGCAGAATTTCCCTGGAGAAAGCAGTAAACCCTCTTACTGAAACCCCATTAGCAGTAAACCCCATTACAGAATCTGGCAGCTTGGATCTTTATCTGTGGGGCTATGTCAGATAGGGAGTCTAGAGACAAGCATTTTTGCGGGGGCTTGGTAAACCAAGAGTGATCTAAGAGGCCTCTCAGCTCTGTATTCCTATGAAAGGCAGCAGATGGTGAAATTCTTAGATGATCTGTCATTCGTTCAAACCACCCTAATTTACATTTTGGGCTGCTGTTTATCTATGCTTTCTTCCTCCAACTTACGACATTAATGAAAATTTTAAAAAGTAAAGGTGATATTGTAACTCAAGGAATGCTTAGATGTACCTTGGGCCACCAAGAGCAGAATGCTCTGTGTGGCTGAAGGAGCTGAGATGTGTGCCACCCCAAGTAGCTTTTCAACCAAAAGTAATTGGGTAGGAAGAGATTTGCTTTTCTATTTATACAGATTTCTGTTGTTTCAGCAGGTAATAGTTCCTCAGTCCTCTACAAAAGTACAGTCACCCATTAGTTCCTTCAAGTGCTCACAACCCTCTGTGTTACAAGTAGAGCAGTAACTGTTATTCCCTCTCCCCCTCTTATGTGCTTATGAGGAAATCAAAGCTTAGAGTGGGGAATTTACTTCCTTATGTTCTCACACTGCTTAGAGACAGTGTTCCTTAGAACAAGGCTTAGAGCATTTTCCATCATTTTCAATTGTCACAACTTAGCCCACAAGTAGAGAGGGATGTTGGCTTTGGTCTGGTCTTAGATTGTGGGATTTATATAGTGTATGACCCTAGAAAGAAGGAGGGGAAAATATTCTTGATGTATGGTGAACAGTCTCAACCAGGATCAGCAGAGACTATTGAAAGGAGGTTATATAGGCCCAGCTGCTGGTTGAGGCTCACATGGGGAAAAGTGGTCATGGGTTCTGGATTGTGACCTGCCCAAACCATATAAATTTCCCTCTCAGTGAGTACTTTGTTTCTTAGTACAAGGGAGTGGTACTAAATCCAAGAACCCCAAAATGGCCCATCTGTTTCATTTTGGGTTCTCTGAACTTACCAACTAAGAAGTAAGGCAATATGGCTCAGAGCTTCTTTACTTAGAAGGGAGGTGGCTATTGCAATTGCAGCTATCTTGAGTTGTCTGTTTTCTAGGAATAGTGCTAGTTTACTTTGTGTAGCACTTACGATCTTCATTCCAATTATATCGGTGAAAGGGGGCTGGGCAGAAAGGACTATCATTACTATTTTAGAAATAAGGAAACTGAAGTTCAGAAAGTTGGTTAGTATAATGCCTGATGTTAGTAAGGGGTTTAGTTAGGACATGGCCCCTGGCTTCTCATGACACCCAATCAAGATGTTTTTCCATCACTAAATCTTAACCCAGTGCTCCTGTTCTTATCTCGAAAAGCAAACTCAGCATCTTTACCTTATCCTTAACTAGGAATACCTTTTATCTATGGGGCCAAACCCTGCTGAAAGGCTGAGCCCTGAGCTTTTTGTGAATAGCCATGAATGATTCAGTGGGAGAGCCTTGAAGCCCCAGCTCAAGGCCTAAAAGAGCTGCCTTAGCCAGTCAATAGTACTACGCTTCTCATTTTCACCAGAAAGGTCAGGGCTGCTTTTAAGTTTTCTGGAATAAATTGTTTGCTTGGGAGCAGGGGATGTACCTGAATGGATAAAAGAGTAATTGGGGTTTGGGGGAAGGGAATTAGGTTTAGGAAGGACTATTTTCTGTACAGGGGCCAGAGATAAAGACAGGATGGAAAAATTTGTGGGGTGTCTGTGTGTATGTATATGTATGCTGGTGGTGAGGGAGGGTGTCAAATTATGGATGAATGTGGGTCCCATCTCTGAGAACTAGAGGGTGGAAATGGGCAAGGCAAATAGGAAAACTCTGCCTTAGGAAGCCACTCTCTTCTCCAGCTGAGTCATCCACCTGAGGGCGGGCAGAGTGAGGGGAAGAATAACCTGCTGCTCTTAGATACTTCCTTATCCTTTTACAGCCCGACCTACTCTTCACCCTTGTCCCAGCTCTCAGGGCATTTTGCAAGGAAAGAAAAGGGAATCATCAAGCAAGCTACCCAAGCTTCCAAGCGTTGGGAGTTGTTCCTCCAAGGCCTGTAATTAGCATCAGGATTCAAGGCTTAGTCCTATAATGCCCTGGCATTTGCTCTCACCTAGTTCCTACATCCCCCAAATTATGCAAGGTAATATACTATCAGAGACAGAAGTGGCTTCTGAAATTACTAAACATCTTCGTTTTATAAAGGTAGCAGCAAATCCAGATAGGAAATGCCTTCTAAGGCCACCTTATAAGTGGATCTGAACCTACCTTGGCCTCTAGATTAACACTAATAATATCCAGTTAAGGCCCAGTTTACTTAACTGTTGGAGAAAACCCAGCCACCAAACATGCACATCTTGCTTCTTGGCCTACTATGATTTCTTTTTTTTTTTTTTTTAATTGAGGCAGAGTCTTACGTTGCCCAGCTGGCCTCAAATGTCTGGATTCAAGTGATCCTCCTAAGTAACTGGAACTACAGGCATGTGCCACTGAGGCTTGGGCTCTCTCAATTCTGTTACCAGAAGGCTGCACTACATTTTCTCTTCCTGGGCTGTAAATTAGCATCCTTCTTCTAACTGAAAGACAAGGATATGGGAGGGGATTCTCAGGATTAGGAGAACACTGACTGCAAAAAGAAGTTTTTCAGAATGTCAGTGGGTTGCTCACTACCTAAGAATCCAAGGTGACTGCGAGGAGAGACTTGGAAGTTGGACACCAAACCAACCTGTACAGAAAATATCAAAAGAACACACTAGAGAGCAGCAGCAACATTGGGCTGAAGGACTCCAGGATCGTGAGGATGGTGGAGAGTAGTGGGGAAGAGTTCTATGGCACTTTGAGATGCCTGCCTGACAGGGAATTATTCAAGAGGTAGTTTGTTGGAGAATCATTCTGAGTGGGAGAAAGGGAGACAAAAAAGTGTTGAGTAGCCTAAGTAGTCTCACTTAATCTCTAGATCATTTAGACTCTTAATTCTTAGCAAGTTTGGTTTTGCCCAGTAGTTTAGGGAAGTCATTTCATTTGTGGTACAAACTAGTTTATTAAATGTTTATTTGGGAGGGTTAGCCAATTAGTGAGATTTATTTCACATCATTGGTATTTCTGTATAGTTCTGAACGGTGACATATTTTTCTCTTTTTGAAGTGTTGTTTTGATATGTTGGTCCCTAACACCTACTGGAACATTTGTCTACACAAATTTTCTCTGTAAGTTAAGGTTGACTATATAGCCAGAGTGGTGAAATAAAGTCTGGCTGTCTGGCCATCTGCCTGCTGAGGCCTTCCCTGCCCTCAGAGGTCAGATGTATGATCTCATACAACAGGAATGAAATGACACCTAGGCAGGGACACTGCCTGGTTTTGTTTTACATTTATGGTTGCACATTATTAAAGTCACCACCCTAATGACAGTGCACAGGACAACACAGTGCGTAGGAAAGTTGTATGCTCATATACTGAATGTCTGGGCCTGTCTGAGCTTATTCATGCTTGAGTCATGGATAGTCTCAGAGCTGAGAAGACCCTTAAGGATCTTTCTGCCCAAACCCTATACCTCTGGGAGACTGAGGTCTCTGGTAATAGTCATGAAATGGTAGAGCTGTCTTTGCCATTTTCAGCCTTACCTCCTATAATGATGCTTACCTCCATTTGGGTGGTTTAAATCAAAACTCACAGAAAATTGCTAGAATAATGCCCCCAAGAGAGTAATTCATGTATATTGAGAGGCCCAGGATGACCTGTCTTCAGACAGTTCTCTTGGGCTTTGTATTTCTTTTTCTTTTTTTCTTTCTTTCTTTTGTAGAGACAGTCTCACTTTATTGCCCTCAGCAGAGTGCCATGGCGTCACATAGCTCACAGCAACCTCCAACTCCTGGGCTTAGGCCTCAGCTTCTCGAGTAGCTGTGACTACAGGCGCCTGCCACAATGCCCGGCTATTTTTTTTGTTGCAGTTTGGCCGGGGCGGGTGTGAACTCGCCACTCTCAGTATATGGGGCCAGTGCCTGAGCCACAGGCGCCATCCAGGCTTTGTATTTCTTAACAAATTCTGATGGTGACTCACTTTTACTGCTCACTGGCTCAGAACCCAATATTTACCATCCCTGTCCTAAGCTCAACCCCCGTCTTTTTTTTTTTTAAAGAGACAATGCCTTACTCCCACCTACACTGAAGCATAGTGGCCCAGTCATAGCTCAGTCCGTAGCCTGGAATGCCTGGGCTCAATTTATCCTCTTGCGACAGCCTTTCAAGTGGCTGGGACTACAGGTATGTGCTGCCACGACCAGCTAGCTTAAAAAAAAAAGAAAAAAGAGATGGGGTCTCTTTTTTTTTTTGTAGAGACAGAGTCTCACTTTATCACCCTTGGTAGAGTGCCGTGGCATCACACAGCTCACAGCAACCCCCAACCCGCCAGAACTCCCGGCTAGAGATGGGGTCTTGTTATGTTGTCCAGGCTGGTCTCGCACTCCTGGCCTCAAATAATCCTACCTCAGCACCTAATGAAACACTGCGATTATAGAAGTAAGCCACCATTCCTGGCCTCACCCCACTTCTAATAACATCTTTCCAAGGGCTGTAGACAGCCAGCTGTCCTTGGTTAGGATAGGGTATATCTAAGGCTAAGTCTGAAAGAACAGAATAATAATCAGAGAAATCTGGGTCAGTCTAAGTGGGTAATAAGCTGCATACGATACCCTGAGGTACTCTTCACGAATGCAGATTCCAGGGCCCCACTCTAGATGTACTGCATCAGAATCTTGAGGACATTGAGTGTGAACATCTATATTTTTAACAAGGTTTCCAGGTGATCCTGGTGCACAGCTAGATTTAGGCCATTGAGACCTTTGCCATCAGTCATCTTTCAGTTTGTCTTAAACTCTCTAACAGACCTTAGAGACCAAAGGACAGCCCCATTACTTTAGTACAACCTTTACAATATGCAAAAATACTTCCCGTCTGTGATTTTATTGGATCTTCATGATAACCTTGTTAGACAGTAGGGCAGGCATTAGGCAACTGGACAGGCATAATTATCCCAACTTTGCAGATGAGGAAACTGAGTTCTGGAGAGCTCAGTCTAGCGTCACAGTTAATAAGTGAGAGAGTGATAATGTGACAGAGTTCCAAAAGCCCTCTATTTTGCGTGTTCTGGCATTTAGCCCTGAGGCCTAAGCCCAGGGAGTAGGACATAACCTTTCCTCTTGGGCTTCACCTGTAGATTTGCTAGAGGGCTGATCCAACTTGCAGATCCATATGTTAGGGATTTGTCCTGGCTTCTCTGCTCTTGGAGGCAGAGCTCTCTTGAAGGTGAGTGCCATACAATATTAAAACTGGGTATCGGCTCGGCGCCTATAGCTCAACTGGCTAAGGCGCCAGCCACGTACACCTAAGGTGGCGGGTTCGAATCCCCAGCCCGGACCCGCCAAACAACAATGACGGCTGCAACCAAAAAAAAAATAGCCGGGCGTTGTGGCGGGCGCCTGTGGTCCCAGCTACTTGGGAGGTGGAGGCAGGAGACTTGCTGGAGCCCAGGAGTTGGAGGTTGCTGTGAGCTGTAATGCCACAGCACTCTGCCCAGGGGGACAGCTTGAGGCTCTGTCAAAAAAAAAAAAAAAAAAAAAAAAAAACTGGGTATCGTTTTCATTCCTTTAGCCCCAGAAAGCCAGCAGGTGCAGGGTGGCATTCCTCGCTAGTGCAACGACAGGAAGTCTCTGGGGCAAGTAGATTGACTTTATTTCTGATTTTATAATCAATTTAACTTGTACTAATTGGCTGGATAATGACGTTCTACATTTCCGAAGACATTTAGTTGGCATCTATAAAAAACCCACAAGCGTTTGCTAAGCAGGTGCAGCTGAAATCAAGAGGAATTCATTAATAATACTATGATTGCTCCTCCTGAGCAGAGCTGCCCAGCAGCCCCAGGCCCTGTGGTTTTTTAACTTTTTGTGGGGGAGGGTATGCAGTTTCTTCCAGATGGAATTCCTCACTGTTTCAGAGCCTCCCTCATTATCTTGCTAAGCCCTTTGTAATAAGACATCATGATTAGATACTCTACCTTTGAACCCTTTGTCCATAATGTATGTGTTCTGACATCTATCCATTCCACAAGCTCCTGTGTAAAAATAACATAAAGAAAGAAAAAATACAGGGGTGAAATTTACTTAGACTATTTGTGTTCTTCCTTTCTCTGTAGCTTTTTCCCCGCCTTTCTCCACTAGAAAATAGTTGTTTATTGCTAGAAGATTATTCTGTGCTTAATCTACCCTAAATTGTTCCGAGTATACAGGAATTCTTAAAAGGCTCACAAGCATTAAGATGAGCTACAGCATCCCCTGGCACATTTGGCACTCTTTCCCTGGAGCCCTAAGAGAATGTCTTTCAGGAAGTAATGAAAGGCAGTTTTGATGCCACCTGTAGTCACTGTAGTTGAAGTTCTTGTCTCCAAAGGTATAGGATAAGGAACAAAGTAGAATCAGTTCTTAGGTTGAGAGGAGGCTGTATGACCTTGCAAATCTCAGTTCTGTTCAATTTTCCACCTCTCTCAGCTCTGGTCTTGCTTCTCCTCTCCTGGATCCTAGGATCATCTGAGGAGAGCCAGAGAGGTAGACAGATAGCTGAGGGTCTGGTTTAGTCATCTCTCTAGGAGGTACAGGCATTCCCATCCACAGCCAGCTCTCAGTTATCCATTCTTTTGGGTGAGTAATACTCTTTGAAAAGTATTATCCAGTGTTCTTCAGCCCTAAAGATTTCTTTCTCCCTTTTGACTGTCAGTTTTCTCCTCGGCTCCCACAATGTAAGGTCCTGAGCCCCCAGCCAGAGGCAGGTCATAAAACTTCAGGGACCAAGTTTGGGTTCTTTGCTGCTGGTGTTCCCAGGAAAGAAATTGTCTGGCATTTCCAGGTTGGGATAATAATGACACTGGGTCAAGGTCATCAAGGCCTTTTTTTTCCTAGCTTTTATGTGAGGGTACAATACCAGACAAGGCACGCATACAGTGCTTACTAAAATACAGGTTTGACTCCACTTGGCTTGCCCTGGTTTCTGACACTGAATACCAACCTTCTGTTTAGACAACCTCTTCTATACAGAGTTCCAAGTTGAATTTGAAGGCGTTTACTCCTATCTGCCTATCTTCCACACATTACCAAGTGACACTACAGAACAACGCCTAGGTTGTTTTTCAGGTTTACTATTCATCTAAAAGGCCTATAGGTGCCTGTGATCTTCAGAATCATGACTACAACAGTTTGTATCCTGGCATCAGTTTAGCAGTTTATAGACCAGGGCTTCCTTTGCCCTCCTGAGAGAGAGAGTCTAGTCTATTAATTTTTCCTCCTTTTTACAGAACAGGAAACAAGCCCAAAGAGCTACTGGTCTAATACCACATCAGCAGTTCATTTGCAGCAAGTGAGAAGTTGAGCTGCAAATACAGCCCAGATCTCCCTAAGTGTTTTCTCCCTAAATACTACCCTGCCTGGGTGCAAGCCAGTAAATGACAGTGTGTGATGCTCAGGCTGCCCTGGCTGAATAGCAGGATCGCTATAAAGTGGGGAGATTGGGGCAGGACACAATTATAAGAGGGACTTTACCTAACCAGTGCAGTCATCGTAACCTGGTTCTTTGTACCCTCAGTGAATCCCCAGCAATAAAAAAATAAAATAAAGTGGGGAGAAATCTGCCTGAGCTCAGAGGATATTCCCATGTGGAAAGAAATACAGGGTATGGTATGGGGAGGCTGTGTGTGTGTGTGTCAGGGGTTGAGGTGGGGGAGGCTGTAGTTGGAGGATTATTAAGTGTCTTGGGTGCTCTCCAGGGGACCAGGCAGCCCATGTCTGCTCAACGGGCAGACGAATTCAGAAACTTCACTGTCTCTAGTGCTGGTGGACCCAGGGACCTGTAGAGGTAAATAGAGCTGTTCAGTTTCCCTTGAGCTAGAAGCCAGCTAGAGCCTGAGCTCAGGCCCAGGCTTGTCCAGCATGCTAAGGCCCTGCCCCAGGGTGCCTCAGAGGAACCACTTTATAGGGATGCCACATTGTCTGTTCATTCATCGCACTTATTCCTAGGACACCTACTTTTGTAAGTGCTTCCATTTCAAGACTGACTTTCCAAATTTCCTTTTTGCGTCTTTCCCAAGCCACCAGATTTGAGCTCAGTGCATGAGTATAGAGGGGGCTTGCTGGTTGATAGATTCTGCCCCAACTTCTTCAGATTTCTACTTGACAGCTCTACCCAAAGATCTGGGAAAGCTTGGTTTGGGCTACTGGTGGTCCTGGGGTTTCTCTCTGGGGGACACTGGGCTTTTTAGTCAGAGAGCCAACTCGTTATTATCCATACCAACAGGGGCTAAAGAATCACCAAAATGTCACCATCTTCAAGTCATTTCTCAGTGGTTTGGGGTTGTATTTTGTGGCCTATAGGGAGTGCAGTTAGCTGGTTTCTCCTCCACTTTGAGCACCCCCGTTTATCCATATCCACTGACCACTATGGGAAAAGAAGAGTTGATAAGGAGGATCTAGAAAGGTTTCTTTTTTTAGATAGGGGTTTGGGCTGGTAGACTATGTTGGGAGGGAGGAGAGCTCACCAGGGAGAGTTCTAGGACCATGGGGGGTGGGTCAAGGTGCAGGAATGGGGATTAGGGCAGGTGCTAGGTTAGGTCTGCTATGAGGGGCTGGGGTAGATCAGGGGTCTGACCTGGTGAGTGTGGCTCAGCGGGGTGGTTGAGGTGTCTAAGTTCAATGTAGAAGTCCTCGGGCGGGTACCTGGCTTCCAGGGCACTGATCTGGAAATGGGAGTCTAGTGAGAGGAATGACAGGGAGGAGCCATTATTCCCAGGGCCCTGGTATGATGGGGAGGGGTGGGAAATACATGAGTGGGCAAAGGTTAGGGTGGGGCAGGCTGGAAAGACTCAAGGCCTTTACTGTGGCATCCTTGCCACAAGCAGATCACCTTGTGGGGCAAGGTGGGATCTGTAGTCATCTGCCTTGTTTTCTCTTACCCTCCACTCCCACCCTCCACAGGAGCTGGTGCTCACCAGGGAGGAGACAGAGGGAAAGTGATAGGACCTGGGAAAGTGAGAGGTCCCTTTCCCGGACGGCAAGTATACCTTTTGCTTCCATCAGATCCCTACATTCTGGCTCTAGCTATCTGCCTGTGGTCCCTGGATCATAGCCACCCTCTCCCCATCCCTGATAAAGAAATGAAGAAGGTCCTGGACTTTGTTTTCTTGTGAGAGCCAAAATAGGGACTTGGGTTTCCTCTCCACACCTCTTCTCCCTAGGGACAAACCATGGCCAGGACTTAACCTTCTCCCTTTGAGCTTGGGACAGGGTCCCTCTCAGTATGAGAGGAGAATAGGGTGGGACGTGATGGTGGAGACCAGACTCAAACCACTACTGACCTAACACGTTCACATAGCTGTAGGGGGTCCAGCCTGCTGTGTCTCTGTCAAGGGACTTGTTACTGAGCTGTTTGAAGAGTAGGAGAGCCAGTTAATACACGGTGCCCCTTCCCAGCCTCAGTGTACCCACCCCTGTCATGATCCTGATTCACCTGGGTCCTTGACTGTTGAGGGAAAGGATGAGCTAGAGGTTCCACAGCAGGCCACCATGGTGTGACTGAGGCCAGTGGGGACAGAATACACTCCACTCAAGCTGTCAGGCTGAAGTTGTAGGGTTGCCAGGCCCCCTACAGAGGGCAGAAGCAGGGCTTCCCAAGAGCTGGCTTAATTAAGCTGGCCCTGATAGGGCAAGCAGATAGCTAGGTCGGGCTTTGGGGTGGAGCACTCTGGGAGTCTGGCAGCTGTAGTATGAGGCCACCTCCAGCACCAAGGGAGATGCTGAGGCTGTCTATCTTGTCACCTGACTTAAGCCAAGCCTTCATTTCTTGTGACCAAGGAAAAGCCTCATGGCAGGGTGTCTCAAGGCTGATGGTACAATCCTTCCTCTCTCTGCATTTTTTTTTCTTGTAGAGACAGTCTCACTTTATCACCCTCGGTAGAGTGCCGTGGTGTCACATAGCTTACAGCAACCTCCAACTCCTGGGCGTAGGCAGTTCTCTTGCTTCAGCCTCCCAAGTAGCTAGGACTACAGGCGCCTGCCACAATGCACAGCTATTTTTTTGTTGCAGTTTGGCCTGGGCTGAGTTTGAACCCGCCACCTTCAGTATATGGGCCCTGCACCCTCTCTCTCTCTCTGCACTCTTAAGGATAGTTATCCTCATTTCACAGATGTGACCTGAGTTCTGACTTGTGGTTCTCGCTCATGGACATACAAGGAGTTAGTGTAGGGCTAGGTCCAGAACTCAGGTCCCCACTCCCAGTCCCATGTACTTTCTGTGTCCTCACAGCTGCCTACTTCTGCTGTGTGCCTTATCTGCCAGACTGAGGGGTCCTTGACTGTATAGAGCTACTCTGGCTACTGGGGTGAGGTGAGCCAAAGGGTCAACAAGTGGGGTATCCTGCAGTAACTCTGGCCTCTTACTGAAAGAGAGGTGGAAGCTGAGAGTGGCCTTGGAATATGGCTTGACAGTGGTTTCCTCGAGGCTTTACAGTATCTATGTTTCTGTGGCATTCAGGCTACAGTGCCACAGAGCTGTGGGCTGATGATCATTCTCTATAGGGCAGACAGGGAGAAAAGGATTTCTAGAGCTCTAGGGCAGAAGCCTGGAGTATGAAAGCTGTGTTATTGGCCCAGGATGGATATTACAGGAAGCCAAGAGTCCTGGGGTTCCTCCCCACCTACCCTGATTACTATTCTATGTTTGTGGGCATGTACATGGGGAAGGGAATCAGGAGGTGTGTATGTAGCCTGAGCCCTTCATATTTTGTCCTTGGGGCTGTAATCTCCCATCCTGCCTGGTATGTGTCCTGGCACATTAAGATGACTTACTACATGTGTGCTGAAACATCCCTGCCCAGGGGCCTGTGACTATAAGAAGATGTCTTGCTATCAGCTAGGGTTATGCTGGGAGCAATCAGGGAAGGCCTTGTCCAGGAGGGTGCACAGCTGCCCTGAAGATGTGCAGAACTCATTGTCCACAGCTGAAGTGTCAGTTTCATGGCCTTTGTGTGTGTGATTACAAAAAAATGATTTATAGGTGGGTACCTATGACATGTGGTCCACATGTCCAGATACAAGCCACATTAGGTGGTTATCTGACTAACAGTAGTTACTTACTCTCTAACGTACTGGTTGCACACATTGTGTTGGTAATGTACTGCAGCGATTTGTGGAAGTAAGTGGTGTTTTGATTACATGTTGACATGTGCCAAAATTGACTATGACACATGGCTATATGTGACAAGAAGGCTACACATGATTCCATTACTGGGTACCAGTGGGTTGCACAGAGGGTACAAGAGTGTATGTTACATTGAGCGATCTGAGGTTTGGTTATAAGGGATGCCCACCAGTTACATGGCACTCAGTTCCATGTTAGCCTTCTGGTTCCAGTACATGCTTTACAGAGTGTTTACATATACCATGGCTCACAGGACTGCTCTTAACGTATTAGCGGCTGGTTCCACACAGACCGTGTATGGGGGATGCAGTTCCTTCCTACGCAGAGGGGAGGACTAATGAGAGGACAGTGGATGGGGGCTGGGGAGTTGGGGCCCGGTACCTTGGTGGGGCTGTTCCTGTCCAGAGTGCTGGCCTGGCTGGTGGCAGGCCCCCCGCACGCCAGTGCATGGTAGCTGGAATTGGAAAAGCACTGGGCATGGCTGCTACTTTGAGACAAATCTGGGAAGAGAACAAGGTGCCACATACCATCACATCCCTGATTAGATACCCTCAATACTAGCATTTGGGCTGGGCAGCCTCGAGGGAAACAGGTTAAGTACCCCATTCCCCAAGCTTTCTGCATTCACTAAACCTATGGAAATCTGGAGAACCTGAGCTGCCCCTCCCTTATACTGGCCCCCTGCAGCATGCAGGACACAGGCTAGGCTTGCCAGTGTGGAAGGAGGCAAGCTGCAGCTTGGTTGGACAAGCTGTGTTTGCCTTGGTAGCCTCACATGTCCCAGTGCTGCTTAGGACTGGTCTGCTAGGGTGAGATCCCAGTAATGAGTTCATAAAGAGAACCCCACTCTTGGCCCTAGCCCTTCTCCTTCTGAGGATTCCAGGACCTATCACCAGAAATGGGGAATACCAGAGGAACAGTGAGGGCAAACTAACCTGACATTGTCAGTATAGTGATAAAAGAAAATTCCCAAATCTCTGTGGGCAGGGATTTCATCACAGGATGTTTGCTTTGGCTGAAGCCCAGAGGGACACACAGGCCAGGAGCTCTTTGAAGGCAGGGTCTGTATGTGGGCTACCAGTGTTCATCCTGTAGCACCTAGCATGGAGCTGGGCATACAGTAGACAATACTCAGCAGAAGTCCGCTGAAGTGATCTGGGTTTTCTAAGCATAGTGCGGGAGGCTGCAGATCAGCCGGGAGCCCGGAGCCCTGGAGCCAGCTGGAGAAAGCCTTCATCCTGTGCTTACCCAGTTAGGCACAGCCTCTCGTGGCCTAGGGCTTTAGGCAATTTCAGAGCATTTTTGGCCTCTATTGTTTAACTTAATACAAAGTAAAAAACCTTTCTTACTTCCAAGGCAGCAGTTTAGGGGAGAAGAAGGATCTGGTCCAGCAGCCCCACTCCACTAACTCCCAGCTAGAATGCCCCTTGTAGTTGTTACCACGCGTGTGGACAGGTTGGGCTCTGGCACATCTGCCACAGGGACATTGTCCAAACTTTCATACCTCTCCCAAGGTTGGGTACCACCCTCCTCCACTGTACTAAGAGGGCTCTCCTAACTCTGGGAACTGGAGGGAATGGTTGCCCTGAGACCTTCACCATGGAAGCAGAAATGGACAGGGCCTGAGCAAAGTGGTATAGCCATCAGGATGAGGAGACATTTCCTTGAAGAATATAGGAAAGTTACTACGTGGTGTGACTGTTCTTATGGCTGAAGCCACAGGTGAGCAGGATGGTGTAGCTCTAGGGAAATGGGAAGAGGCTTCCAGAGCTGGGGGCCCAGGAAATGACCTCCTCTTGGAATCCTATGTCCCTTTCCTGGGTAGGCTCCTGCTTCCCGCTCCCCTGGTGCTCTAGGGTAGTCTGAGCATCCATACCCAGCCTCTGTAGCATCCATACCCACCCACCTTGCAGTAAACCCAGGTGTGCCCAGGGATACTGTATGGCTCTTTGGGAGTGGGGTGAGGTGGGAGGGCTAGGGGAGTCAGGAGGGAGAAGAGGAGGGATGCTGGGAGCATGGTCCTTACCGGAGAGGGAGTAGTCTGTGCTGGTCATCCTCATGGCAGGTGTGTAGGAGACTCGGGGAGCCAAGTCGCGGCCCTTCTCTTTCTGCCTCCGCCGTCGCCAGGCAAACAGGCCCAGCAGTACCACAATGAGGAACAACAGGAGGATGATGCCTGTGACAGCACCCACTGAGTGCCGCTCTGCACCCAGTGCTGGGCTGATCTTGGTATAGGGATTCAACTCCTCCATCATGAGGGCAGCTGTGGGCAGAGGGAAGGCCTGAGCCTGGGGCTGGCCTGTTTGCTCTTCAGCTGTCCTGGGCCCAGGCTCAGATGCCTCTAACCCCTCTAAAGTGGGGAAGCCTAGTTCTGGTCATGGCCTTATTCTTCAATCCCTGTGTGATCCCCCCAGCCCTGACTGTGCCTTACTTTCTTCAACTGCCTAAAAGGGAATGGAGTCCTAGGGTCATGACAAGAAGCAAATGTGATTATGGATATGAAACAAAGTATATAGGTCACTACAAAAGTTGTGAGATGGTCCATTATGTCCCTTCTAAGAAACACAGTTGACAAGATCCTTTCTGGTTCACCTAGGCAGGTTTGAACTTGCTGAGGGTATCAGTGTTGCTGGGAGGATTTTATTTGTTTCTGTCTGAATAGATTTTACATTTTTTTTCTTTTTCTTTCTCTCTCTTTTTTTTTTTTTTTTTAAGACCAAACTATCTGTTGTCCACAAGAACCCACTTTATTTTTTTTTGTTGTTGCAGTTTGGCCAGGGCTGTATTCGAACCTGCCACCCTCAGTATATGGGGCTGGCACCCTATTCACTGAGCTACAGGCGCCTCCTAATTTTACATTTCTTGATTTTTGTGTATCTCAAACTTTTGTAATGACCCACATATTTTACTCTTCTAAAAATGACTTGAAGATACCAGCTCACTTAATCTTCCCCAAAGCCCTCTGGAATGGGGATTGTTCAATTATTTCCCTTTCATAGATGAAAAAACCGAGTCACCAAAAGGTGAGGTAACTTGCCCAGGATCACACAACCAGTGATTGGCAGAATCTGGTTTCTCAGGAGTCAGGAAAGATTTGCCACAATCCCTACTTATGAGTTGTGTACTCAGAGTGTCCTCAGCATGTCTTTTATAACTTAGGGGACAGTGATCCCACTCTCTAGGGGAGGGGTTGTGAGCCCCAAATGATAGACTGGCAATAAGTGCTGTGCCACTGTGTCCAGGATCCCTGCCCACAAAGCCCTCTTTCTTGATTTGATGTGCGGGCGGACCTCTGTGCTGGTGGCTCAGTCCAGGGTTCTCTTGCCAGCCCAGCAGTATCTAGACCTCTCCTTGGCTGTCTGCTGCTGGCTAAACTGAGCTGGCCAACATCAGCAGGGAGGTAACTAGGCTGTGTTACCATTCTCAATGATTTATCCTCAGGAAGCAATGGCAGTTTTCTGTCATGTGGGTAATTGAGAGCCCATTCTCATCCCCCATCTCCTAGAACTAAGTGTAATACCATCCCTTTAAGGTTTGCAGCATTTTATAAAAGGTTCTTATGTATACAAAGCCACTATCTATGGAGGGCTCATTTACCTATGTGCTGTGCACAGTGCTGATTTCTTTACTCACACTGCCTCAGCTTGATCCTCATAACTTAGGTGTCATCTGACTATAGAACCAAAGTTCAGCCTCTTTGGGCTTCTTTGCCCTCAGAGGAATCTCATGTCATGGGGAAGACAGCAAGTAATCTATTCTTCCCACATTGCATGTGGAGTAATTAGGCCCAGCACAAGAACATGACTAGCTTAAGGATACCAAGCAGGTAATGGGAGAACTAGAACTTGGCAGATACTCTAACTTGGTCTGGTGGCCTTTCTGCAGCACTAGCTTGTGGTTACCCTTGCTTGGCTCCTGGGAAACATGCCAAGGACAAGCATGGGGAAGCTGCAGCTGAGAGGCTGCCTGCCAACCCCCGTCCCGTCTACCTCTCCAGCGCCTGGACCCTCAGCTTTCTTCCCACAGCCACCTGTTTCTGCTGTCCTCAAACGGGAATAAAGGGAAGTATCCTCATCAAATGCAGCTATTCTAGTTGGAATCTCCCTAGAGCCTCCCTGGGTCTCTCTCCACAAAGCCCAGGCACTCTGCTACCTGTGTATTACCTTGGTCACACCTGATTCCTTTGAATCCAGGGCTGCAATAACAGGTGCCAGTGACGTGGTCACAGGTAGAATTATTCATGCACTCACACAGCTGCTGACACCCATAGCCAAAGGTTCCTGGGGCACATCCTGTGTGGCACAAAGAGTAGACAGTGAGACCCACTCACTGCCCACCCCCCCACCCCCCACTTCATGTTTGGACAGCTCTGCTGACAGACCATTTTTGCCTCTCACTATGTGAAACATATTTCCCCACAGCTCCCACGGTGCTTTGGTTAAACACTTGGGGATGAACAGAGCATATACAGCCCTGAGTGGGGGGACAAAGAGGAGGAGCGGGCAGGGCCCAACTCCTCCCTACTTCCTTCTTGTGCAGCACATTTAAATAGCATCTTCTATGTTGCAGGGGCTTCAAAGAATCACAAAGATCCCATGCCTCCCTCTGCTCCCTTCATTATCTCCCTCAGGCCTCCGCGCTCAATCCCCTCCCGTCTCCTTCCATATGAAAGGAGAAATTTTTTCTTTTTTTGCAATTTTGCCCGGGCTGGGCTTGAACCCAGCATCCCCGGTATATGGGGCTGGTGTCCTACTCCTTGAGCCACAGGCGCTGCCCAGAGGGAGAAATTCTTTAAGCACCAATGTAGGCATGACCTTTTTCAGCTTTTTCCTTGAGAGTTTCCCCCAAAGTCATGGGAACAAAAGGTGGAGCCTGAATGAGCAGGATTGAAGGGCAAGGGTCCTCGCAGGAGGCTGAGGCCTGGCCCGGCACCCAGTGTGGTCAGGGCAGCTTACTCTGTTCACAGTGCTGTCCGGTGAAGCCTGTGCGGCAGGTGCACTTGCCACTGATGTGGTCACAGCTGGCGCCGTTCTGACACTGGCATACACGCCCACAGTCCTTCCCAAAAAACGCTGCTGGGCAGCCTGGGGAAATAGGATCTCTAGTCACAAGCGCTGCTGCTGATTGAGGATCACTGCAGAGCTGTGGCTGGGACCAGACCCGTCTTCTGCTCCCCTCTTGCTGAGCATGGGGTGAAGACTATTGAGACCCGGCACAGAGCCATCTCTGTGCTCTTGGACTCTCATGCTGTATGGGAGTAGGGGCCAAGGAGTCCTGCAGACAAATGGTCCTTGGAATCAGAGGCCAGGCTTGGGTCTCTTTCCTGTGTGGCCACAGGCTGCTTCTCTCCACTCTGGACCCCACTGTCCAAGGAAGGTCTGGTCTTGGTGATTGCTGACATACCTACAGCCCTAACCTTGTAAGACTTTGGGCCTCTCAAGCCCTTGAATTAGGTCAGGCCCTGGGGCTTTCCCTGGGGGGCTCCCCAGTTCTCATGGAGCAGGGGGTGGGGGTCCTGGGGCCAGCTCCCTTCTTCCTCCCTCCCTGTAGGCCTGGACGATGCCCACAGTGGCCAGTAGGCTGCAGTATGGGATTCCAAGTGGATGGGAGGCCAGGAGGCAGGGCTTACGCTGTGTGCAGAAGAGTCCAGTCCAGCCAGGGGTGCAGTGGCAGGCCCCGTCCTCGGTGCTGCAGCTCGCCCCGTTGTGGCAGCTGCATGTATGGAAGCAGGCAGGGCCCCAGAACCCTGGTGGGCAAGCTAGGATATGGGTGAGATACAGAGGGGGAAGGGGAAGATGAAAAGGGAGAGGAAAGGGGAGTATACATCAGAGCCAAGACATCAGAGTGGATGCAGTTGACTTTTCCTGGCTCTCGGGCTTGCTTAACACACTGTTCCTAGAATTCTTTTTTTGTTTGTTTGTTTTCTTTTGCAGTTTTGGCCAGGGCTGGGCTTGAACTTACCACCCCGGGTATATGGGGCTGGCGCCCTACTTGAGCCACAGGCACGGCCCTATTCCTAGAATTCTTACACTTCTTGGCTTAGCAACCCAGGATTCACAAGATCCAGATTGCCCATCTCCAAGTCTTTGGTAACTAACTCAGCATGGCTCTGAGGGCTCCTGAGCTGCCGCTCTAAGCGAGTCCCAGTATCTGATTTGGAACACACAGGTAAACTTTGTGGGTGACAGCAGGACCACTATCTGTGCTAACTTCCCCGTAAGGCTAGGGACTTTCCTAGGGTGGGAACTCTTCACTCTCAGCTATGAGCTTACTGAGGTGGCAGTTCCCTTGGCCTAGGCCATCTAACAAGGAGTGTACAGGCTAGGTCTCTGCCTTAGATTCAGGGCTCCCTGGAGAGAAGCTGTTACAGTCACAACAAATTGGGTATACTTTTCATGAACAGCCTTGACAGTGCTCTGTTTGGGCTTATGATGTCCAGGATATTGTTCACATGGGCCACCCAGAGGGCACCCACTCTCCTCCCAAGTTGCCTGTCCCAGCCACATCTCACTTTGCCATTCCTAAATTCCACCATGCTGATCCTTGCCCCTCCTCAGCTCCAGCCAAACTCCTTGCTTAGGTGGTGAGATTAATAGCTTTAATTAATTGATATCAACGATATCAATACCTTTAATGCCAGTAGTTAATAATACCAGTGATCAATCCTAATAACTCATCGTGTTGGCAGAAGAGCTAAATGGGATGCAGATGGACATTCCTGGCTGCAAAAGGAGATTTCCCGCCTGGAAGTGGAGCTGCCAAGGTGGAGAGCCTCCAGACCTAACCCTGGGTGAGGGACATTCCCAGAGGGCAATGACCTACCCTGTGAGCAGTCCGTGCCGATCCATCCGGGGAGGCACTGGCAGGAGCCATCGATGGGGCTGCAGGTCCCGTTGTTGGCACAGGAACAGAGCTGGGCACAGTCCTGCCCAAAGTGGCCTCCAGCACACACTGTGGGCACAGGACAGCCTGGCACCTGTCCTCCCACTTATGCACCTTACACCACCCCCTCACCCACAGCTACAGCCCCAGAAGTTCCCAGGCCACAGCCATGACCACCTTGGAATTAGGGGTCTGAATAGGAACTGCCCACCTCAGCACCCTATCACTCTTCTCCACATGCATGGAAATAAGTTGCCCCTCGCATGTCTGCAGCTGCGTTCTTCAGGATGCTCTATTGTGATCCCCTTTGGCAGAGGAACAGACTGAGGCCCATAGAGGTGGAATGACTTGATGTGATGAGGCTGGGCATCACACTTTGGGACTCTCGGTTCAGAGCTCCCGGTATTGCTCTGCAACCTTCTGAATTCTATTGCCATGCTTTTGCCAGCATGTCTAATCCCACAGCCATGGGGGTGAAGACTGTTCACAGCTAGGAGAGGGACAAATGCAGTGTGGCCAGTCTGCAGTTTGACAATTGGAGGGCTGGCCTTGAGTGTCTGTTGCTATCCACCCGTTTCCTCTGACCTCAAGCCTCAGCTCAGTCTCCACCTCAGGAAAGCCCTCTTGGGTTCGCAAGGCCCTCTTCACCACTGGTGTTTCTACTTTGAGACACTTGGAGGATTTAGGTCACAGACCCTCCTGGAGGAGTCACTTCTTGGTCTATAGAGGAAAGGCTGGTTTTCTCAGCCAGGCTGCAGGGCTGCGTCTGCTGCATATGAGTATTAATTGAGCACTTATCTCGTGTCCTTTGCAGTTCATCTCCCACTTGTTTCCTACAGCTTCCATACTCTAAAGCACCGGTCCATTCCTGACACTCTTGGGTCCTGCTCAAATATCCTCAGTGCTCCCCACCTCCAATTGCCCCGGAATAAAGTCTAGGTCCTGGAGAGCAGCACAGAGGATCATGGGAAGGTGTCAATTCTTGAAGAGAAGTGACTTCCCCAGGGCCCCTCTCTCAACTCTTGGGCTGGCAACCTCTCCTTTGCATCACACTGCCTCGTATTGGTAGCCCTTCCCCAACCAGACTGGTGGCACCTGGTGGCTAGGATCTATGTCCACTCTGTGCCTCTCTGGGACATGATTAGTGGCTGCCAAATACTAAAGGCAGCATGGTGGACTGGACTCTTTAGTCTAAAGCCTTGGATTGAGGTCCTAGTTTTCTTCATGTATTCAGCAAACATAGATGGCCCTTATGCACAAGATACTTAAGTGTGCTTCACAAATGCAGGCATACCTCAGAGATATTGCGGGTTCACTTCCAGATCACTGTGAGAGAATATTGCAATAAAGCAAATCACATGAATTTTTTTTGTTTCCTAGTACCTATGAATGTTATGCTTACACTGTGGTCTGTTAAGTGTGCAATAGCATGTCTAAAAAATATACGTGCCTTAATTGAAGAATACTTTATTGCTAAAAATACTGACACAGACAGGAAATGAGCACTTGATCTTAGAAAAATGGCACTGATAGACCTGCTTGAGGCCGGGTTGCCACAAACCTTTAGCTTGTAAAAAAAACATGGTATCTGGTAGCACAATAAAGTGAAGTACAATGCAATCAGGTATGCCTGTATCCATTCACTTAATCTTGAAACTGTCATTTTTATATAAATAATGACATCATCATCACTACTCCTCATAATTAACTCTTCTTTCTAGATGAGAAACTGAGGCACTAAGAGGTTAATTAACTTGCCCAAAGTCACCGACTAGGAAGTTTTACCATGGACTGGCTAAGTGCCTTTGAGCAAACCACATCACTCCTTCTTGGTGTTGGTTTCCTCATTTTTTCTCACATGCACAAGGCCCCTAGCTTAGGGCCATAGTTAATAGTTGCAGGCAGGCAGCCTGGCTGGTTTGGGGCCCTGTGCCTCGCTTTATGAAAACAGCTGCTTCCCAGGCAGTTCACTTCCAAGAGGACGGCATGCTCCTTACCTATGTGCAGCTTGGGCTCCACCTTCCTGGAGCAGGCCGCCCAGCTTCTTCCCCTTCCCTCCCTCTGGGAGGTGCTCGATTTGAGGAACCCGTACCCAGTCCTGGCTGGCCCTCTCTGAAGAGTGGGGTACCAGAGCTGCTCCCCCAACCTCCATCCCTAAAACAAACTTATGAACTTCTCTAACAAGACAGTCTTATCTTTGAAGTCTTTCTCACATACAAAAGGCCAGCAAATTTTCCCACAGAGCTGCTAATGCAATCAGTCTAATACACTAATTGGGTGACTTCTTAGCTGAATCAAGAGTGAGCAAAAAAAAGAAAGGAGCGATGGAGAGAAGGGGGGCTGGTGAAAAGAAAACATCTGGTTATATTTAATCTATGTTTAATGACTCTACATAAGCAGTGTCTGTAATTTGTAACTTGCTGGAAAGCCAGTCATTAGAAAGGGCAGGGCAGTTGCCATTAATAGCAAACCTTATTAGATCTATATGTGGGAAATACTCATTAGGCCAGTGGGTGATAAATCAGGCAACCCAGGATCCAAGAGTTACTCTTCAGGCTGCTTAGGCCCTAATTCAGACCTGGCCTATCTGTTTTGACGGCTAGGTCTCCTATGTTTAATAAGTAAACCTCTATGTGTCAGGTTATGATTAAACTGTCCTAGGAGGGCTGCAAGTAAATGAAACTGTCACATATGTTTCCCTGGGGCCCAAACTTCTCATGACCTCAAAGCATCATGTAGTAAACTTTCCACTCATACATATTAACAGCCCACGCACTGGCAAAAATAACCTGGCTCAGCCGTGATTATTCATCAAAGGAATGGTCTCCCCTGAGAGGTAGTGAGCTCTCAGTCAATAGAAGTATTTAAGCAGAGTCCAGATGCGATTCTTGCACAAATGACCTTGAAGTTGCTTTTAGCTCTAACTTATCCTAAGATCTTTTCACTCCTCATGGATTAAAGCGCAAATTCTGTAGCCTTGTGTTGAAGTCTGTTTTGAAGGCCCCAGCCTACCTTTTCAGCCCTCTTTCCACCACCCCCTGCCACTGTATCTTCCAACCACTCCCTATCGCTGGATGGCTGTGTGCTTGGGTCTCTGTGCTTTGCCTAAGCTGTTTTCTCTGCCTAGAATGCTTTTCCTCCTTCTCTGCCTTTCAAGCTACGGCTCAGCTGATGTCCTGGATAGTCTATGGAGCCTTTGCCCAAATCCACCCCATCTTGGCCTTTCAGTAAGCCAGAGATGGCAATAAACCATGACACGTGCTGGAGCCAGCTCCTACCTTCTCACTGGTTGTTCACTATTTGGGAATTTGGTGAATGTTGGTAAACCACTGGCATCTTAAAATCGGCCACCATAGGAATATTTATATCATAGAAATCTACAGTCCTGGTTACCAATCTGGGCTTTCCCTTCACAAAGAGCTGGCTGAGCAGCACACGAGCGCAAATAAACTTTCTCTCTTTTTTCCAAGAGTTGAGTGGTAGCAGTTGCCTAGAGTTGGTGGTGTGAAGGATTCTGAGGTTGAGACAGGAAAGTGGGCGGTGTGATGAGGAATGGATTAGTGATGTTGGTGTAAGCGTGAGGGGGAGAAGGGCCCATGAGCTGCCACCTCCAGCCAAAGCCAGAACTGTCTCCTCTGCACTCCCACCATGTTCTCTGCCTCTCCCCTTGGCACTCAGCACAGTCACTTGGTGCCACTTCTGATGTGGCTCTTTTATATGCTTATTTAATTTTTCATCTGTTTAGTGTGGGCGTTAGAGTCAAAATTTGTTTCTGCCACTTGCTGTGAGATCATAAACAAGTCATTTAACTTCCTTGAGCCTGTTCCTTTTACTGCGTAATGGCTTGGTCATAAGCCACGTGGTGCTCAAGTCTTATAAACTTGAGCAGCCTGAGCCCTGACGAGGGAAGAACTTACCTCTGCGGAGTATGATAAATCCCCACCCCCCAAGTCCTTTCCTCCCTGCCATTGTCCTCTCAGAACCTCTCACCTCCCTGCCCACTGAAGACAGTACCTTGGTTGCAAAGGGCTCCAGAGAATCCTGGGAGACACTCACAGATGCCGCTGACATGGTGGCAGGGCCCACTGCTGTGCACACAGAGGGGGCACGGCTGGGTGCAGCTATAGCCATAGAGCCCAGGGGGGCAGACTGAGGGTAAAAGGAAGAGGACAGTGAGCACCTTAAGAGACCCCAGCTAGCCTGGCCACTCCACCTGACCCACATAGCAATAAAGAGGCGCCTAAAAAATGTGGGGAGAGTTGCATTCTTTCCACACCTGGGAACATCTGCCCCTTTGTGGAGAGAGGAGCTGTGGCCTAGTCCTGTTTCCATCAAGGGGCTGGGCCCTGAACTCAGGGACAGAAGGGACTAGTGGGAGGCAAGAGATGGAAACTGACTCTGGGGGCCCACCTCTCAGGCCAGGACCGGTTCCATCTGGGGAAGGTTAAAGAGCATAAGCTGTCTGAGGTCTTCGGGGCAAGGGGTTCAGCTTACTTCTCTGGCATAAGGGTCCTCGGAAGCCAGGGGCACACTCGCAGCTCCCGTCCTCTGGAGAACAAGAGCCACCATTCTCACAGCTGCAGGAGACAGAGCAGTTGGGGCCCCAGCGACCAGGCGGACATGTGCTATCACAGCGGATGCCTGTGGACCAGAGACAGACCAGGGTCAGTGTTCAGAGAGCTGAGGGTGCAGGAAGATGGGAGGGAAGGGCACATGCAAATGAAGAGGTGGAGCTGAGCACAATGAGTCTGGGGGTGTGGAGGAGAAAGCTTCCAGGAAGAGGTGATGCCCAGATGGCATCCTAGAAGACAAGGAAGAACTGACCAAGCAAAGGAAACCAGCAGGATGCAAGAGAGAGAATCGTGTCTTAAAAGAATGAAAGACAGCATAGTGTGGCAGAACCACAAAGAGCGGAATGGATATAGCAAGAGGTGAGACTGGGGGAAGGGACCAGATGGTGAAGGGCATTCAAGAACATACCTGACATAAACCAGCTATGGGCAAGTGAGTGCCAGCTGGGGGTGAGCTACATGCCTACCCATGTTAGCCCAGGAGCCTCGGCTCCTGCTGGGTCCCAGCCAACCAACCTGGAGTAGGGTCTCAGGCAGTGGATAGGGTCTGAATTTCCAGATTCTTTTGACCAGAGTTCTCAGTGCGATATGTATTTTATGTCATAAGTGCACACAGATGTACGATGGAAACCAGTCCTTTGCAAAATTACTTTGTCACTGTAAGATACTCTGATTTCTCTCTGTATTGTGATGTATTCTATTTCATAAAAATGTTAGTTGTGACCCACCAAATTGATTTAATGATCCTCACTTTGACAGTGGCCTATGGGGGAATGGATGGAATCTCTCAATAAGAAAGAGGAACAAGGAATATTTAGTGTTTTTGAGAGGGAATAAATACATGTTTAGAGTGATTACAGCCTGAAGGCTAAGAAGGAATTTTAAAAGGCCTGAGGCTGGATGTTCCAGCTCTGGGATAGGGTTTCCTCTCAGGCAGAAAGGCTTCCTGTCTGATATCCTTTAGGGGAAGGGAACAAGAGATTGTTCCAAGAGATTGGCTTGGCTTTGGAAGGTGAATATCAGAGGCTCAGAGAGAAGCAGAATTAGCTGAAAAATCATGCCTGCCTTGTTATAAGGACAGGGAAAGAAAGAGAGAGAAAGTTACTTGGGCCGGGTGAACAGAGCCAGCCTTAGCAGCCGAAGGAGAGCAGTGGGACCAATTTAGAGGCGGCCTGGAATTGTACAAGCCCACCCAGCTGGCAGGGAAAGGGAAGGGAGGGTGGAACAGCTGGAGAGAGGCAGAGGGGGAAGAGGATGCAACAGGCTCCATTCCTCTGCTTATCCCTCAGTCCAGCCAGCACCTGCGCTCCCTCCCTGGAACGTCTCAATTTTAAAGCAGGATAAAGGCTTCAGATGCCACTTTCTGGGACATGGTGGCGGGATTCTTTCCAGGGGATGGGATCTTTTCCCAGTGATAATCTGACAGCCGCATTTGTCATATTTTACCTATTGATGAGGAATTTCAGGTGCCCAAGTGGAATTTCAGGTGCCCAAGAGGTAGAACCTGGACAGGCACCATGGATTGACTAAAGAGAGCTAGGAAAGGAGAAACCATGAAGCTGTTCGAAGTTTTGGACACGTCTTCAAGTTTCCCTTTCCTAGGCACCCTAAGGAATTCTTTTGCCTGTCGGCCTGAAGCAGAGCTTCACTGCTGACAGGGCTTCCAGTTAATCCTCCTGCACACCCAACACTGCAGGCTGACGTGGCTTCTGGAAATACCACCCATAGACGCTGCTCTTTCCTAAGCTATGCATAGAGGTACCGTGATTCAGAAAACAGTGCATGCCAAAGCACCACCCCGTTCACGGCAGCTGGCTGTTAGTGTGTTTGGCTATTAAAGGTGTAGCTACGCGTGTAGAATCCTCAGTGAGTTTTCATGTTAAAAAGGGGTCCTCTTCCTTGGGGAACCATGAGTGTTGGCTGTTCATGCTCAGACTGCAGGTGGCTGCAAAGTCCCTCAGGGTTCTAGGATTTGGCAATTATTACATTCTGAGCCTGGTCCTGTGGGAATGGCGTTCCTATTTGAGGTTCTTATATGTCCTAGAGCTTTTTGGAGGATAAGACATGGGTTCTAAGTAGAAAAAAAGGTCCAAGGTTTCCCCAGAAAACTGGAAGTGCCCAGTTCCAGAAAGGACTTACTGGCGTCATCAAAGGGGCTGGCTTTGGCTGTGTGGGAGGCTCCCAGCTAGAACTTCTGTTGTAGCAGTTTCAGTTACCTTTTCTGAGCCCTGGTTTTCCTCAGAGTTGAATAGGGATGATAATTCCCTTAGAGGCAGCTCTCTCATACCTTAGGGAATCCTCTGGCTTTGTATTTTCCGGACCTTCCTCCCCTCCCACATCTATATTGATGGGTAAAGCTAGGCTCAAAATCCATACATCGTGATCTCTAGTTGACGCAGCAAGGCCAGCAGCCCATAATGTTCAGGGTCTGCTTAGAGTCCTCCTCCTCCAGGAGGCCTTCCTGGATGTCAGGGCAGGGATTCAAGCATCTATCTGAATGCAGCATATAGCTTTCTCTCTACCTGTTACTCGAATGTTTCATGCACATGAGTCCTGTCTCCCCTGCCAGCAGTTTGAAGACAGGGAGCACAGTGTACTGACTCTTCTGACCCTGCTTACCTAGGTGCTCCTCGTGGCCAGGGAGCCCACCTCTGGTGCACACAGTAAGCGCCTAGGGATGGTTGCTGTGGAATTTTGCCACTCACTGCTAAGTCTGGCACAGTGTTGGGCACAAGGTAGCTGCCAAATAAAAACTTGGTAATTGGGTGAGTCAATAAACGCTAGTTGAATGAGTAAATGGCTCCCCCTTACGATACTGTCCTGCATCCCTCATCCTTTTGGCACTGATGTCCTAAAACTTGAGCAACTCCCTTTCTTTATCTGTGGTGTGAGAGGGTTGAAGTAGATAATCTTTAAGTTCTCTTCTCCTTCAAGGGGAAAAACCATAAATGGTGTGAGGCCAACTTCTGATTTATTTCAGTAAAATTTAATGAGTACCTGCTGAGTGCAGAACAAGGTGAATAAGGCATAAATACACAACACCAGTTGTCAATAAGCCTGTGTCTTACTGGGACAGGGGGAGATATGCCTGCAGCTTAGGGCAGACCAAAACCTGTGTTGACCAAGTCATGAGCAATACCCCAGGGGCTAGGAAGTCAGGCACAGATGTTTCTTAACAGCACAGGTGAATGGGGAGGGCTCACTGAATGGGAGGCTGCCCAGGCCTGTCCCCTCTCCCCACCCCTCCTTGGCTCCCTTCCACATGATGACAAACCTCAGGACATCAATCACATCTTTCAAAAGACTACAAAACCACACTTGGGGAAATTAGCTTTAGAATAGCAGAGGCCTTGCCGAAAGGTTGTTCAAAGATAGAATTTTTAAGTACCAGATAGTATTAAAATCTCATCGGCTCACTTGAAATTAAGGCAATGAAAAATTAAAATGGATTTCCACTTGGTTCCAGTTGAGGGTCTAGGGTGCTGGTGCCTAGGGTAGGGCCTCCTTCAAGGGACAAGAACCAAGAGGGCAGGGGAAGCCAAGGTTCCTGGCCCTTGGCTGCTTAGAAACTTTCTAGTTGTGGAGAACAGAAGCTGTGCAGCAACCTGCTGTGAATTATTTACCTGAGAACCTATGCTGCCAGGAATGACTGTATTTCTTTCTCTTGGCCACCCACCACCTTGGGACTGGTTCATTCACACAACCTATTGTTATTAAGCACTTCCAGTATTCAGGGCTTACATTCACTGAGCACTTACTATGTACCAGGGACTGGTAGCACTTTATTGGTATTTACACTTCAAAACAGCCCTGTAAGAAAACACAACTACATTCAATTAAGAGAAGTGGGGAAGAGAGGGGAGGAGGGAGGGTGTTGGGTGTGCTCTCACCTAATGGGCACAACACCCACAACACCCTCCCAGGTGATGGGCTCAACTACAACTTGGTCTCTACCTAACAAATGCAAACAATGTAACCTAAGTGTCCCCTTATATCAATCTGAAATCAGAAAAAAACCCCAGCCCTTCCCCTGTTGTGAGGAAGATTATGTGCATTTTATAGATGGAGAATTCAGGCCCTGAGAGGTTGAAGGACTTGCCAAGGTCATAAACCCAGGCAGTCTGGCTCCTGTTCTATGTTCTTAACTGCCACCTTATCCATATCTCAGCGTGTGGCAGGCAGTGGATACAGTGGTGGATAATCAGATGCTTCCACAGAGCTGATGGTCAAGTTGGGGAGGCAGATAATAAATAGTTATTGAAATCTGAGTTCAGTGACATTGTACCAAGGGAACAGTGCGGGGAATCAGAATTAATTAAAGGGGGCTCTTTAGTCTTAGGTGGAGGATGGCTGCTGTAGCCTTCCCTGAGGAAGCAACTGTTAAGTTAAAACCTTGTGGATGAGAAGGAGATGCCACGTGAAGAGAAGGGGAGAGAGAGATTCAGCAGAGGGAATAGTACAGGCAAAAGGGGCCAGGAAGGGGCTTGGCTCTCTGAAGTAAACTTTGGCCTCAGTGGCTGGAGTGTAGCATGCAACAGGGAGGGGGCAGGAGAGAGGTGGAGGAGTTGGGCAGAGCCAGGTCACGTGGGCCTGGGCAATGGCAAAGGTTTTAAACTTTAATAGGAGTCCTGGGAAGCCACTGAGGCCTTCTGAACAGGCCCGATGGGTCTGGGGTTTGAGAAGTCTTCTCTGGCCACTGTGTGCAGAATGAATGCAGCTGGGCAAGAGGGGAGGTCTGAGACCAACTGGGATGTTGAGGCAGTGCCAGGTGAGAGAGGGTGATCAGTGGACCAGGTGGTGGCAATGGGATGGAGAGAGGTACATGGATTCACCTTGCATGTAGGAGGCAGGCTGACAGGCTAGATGTGGGGACTAGGACTCTGGGACAGGACTAAGGAGGAAGTTCTGTGCCGTTCTCTACCTTATTCTTTAGAAACAGATTGAGCACCTATACCCACCATGTGTCAGACTTTGATTTTTTACTGGGGTGTCTCTAGCCCTTAGAACAGAGCCTGTATTAAGTAGGTGTTCAATAAATTTGCTTGCTGGAATTGAATGGAATGGAGCCCGGAGCACATAAAGAGAAAGACGCACATTTAGGGAAGAAGAAAGCTACTGATGGAGAAAGAACAGTCATAAGAAGTAGGGGAATATCAACAATCCAGTTTCACAGGACCCTGCTAGTGGCCGAGAAGAGTGAGTTACCTGTCCATCCAGCCAGGCAGCAGCAGTGGCCTGTGACGGGATCGCAGCCATCTGCATGGCTGCAGTCACAGCGTTCACTGCAGTTTAGCCCAAATGTGCCATCCTGTGGAAAGAGGCAGAGAGAGAGAAAAAAATCAGACCCAGAGTCCTAAATGTTCACACATTTCTCTTGATAACCCACAGGGATGCAGAGACTGGGGCTGGGGCACAGTAGGTACATTTTTCTAAGTGGGGAATCAATGCATCCATGAAGCCACTGCAAAGAATTATTTGGCCTGATAAACAGGAACGTGAGGTTTGGATGGAGGGAGGAGATGGTCCTGCCCTACTTTTCAAAGGGCGAGCTCAGAGCCTGTAAGGATCAACTGAAATTGTGAATGGAAATGCACTTTGCTAATTATAACACGTTGATCACGTGTGAGGAAGGACTGTGGTTTACTCTGTTACGGGGGCAGGAAGTAGTACAGCTACCTCCTTGTGTGCTCATTAGGTGTGGGGAGCCCTGTCTTTCTCATTTCTCTTTATCCTCACAACTATCCAATGAGATGTTCCATTATGTTCCACTTTAAAGGTGAGAAACAGGGTTAGAGAGGTAACATGCTCAAAGTAACCTTGTCAGGATGTGGTACTGTCACATCAGCCCATTTCACTTCTTTGTATCTGAGACCTACAAAAGGCCCACAGTTAAATCTGGGTGGCTGGCTTTATTCCCCCCGCACCCTGATTGTGAGAGCACAGACTGTGGGAACCAGGAAGAAGCTTAGACAACATCAAGGAGTGGCCACTCTGATGCCTTAGCAAGGGCTGTCCTAGAGAGCTGTGTCCTGAAGGATTCTAAAGCTGCATTTGAGGTCAGGTTAGAGCACCAGTGTCAACAATGTTTATTTTACCACAAGCAGTGAGTATCTTCCATTCTATCGAGAGGGGTGAGAGTAAAGTAGCAAACTGGCCACAGAAAGGTTAGGACTAGGATGGATCTGAATCTGGGTGTCCTACCACATAGCCTAGTGCTCTTCTCTGGATACCCCTGTGGGTAAAATAACCCCAGGGAAGGGCATGAGGGGATGCTGGGCCTGCCCTGTCCCTCCCCACCCCCCGGCACTCACCGGGCAGGGCAGTTCACAGGTGTCCCCCAGCCAGCCTGGGGTGCAGGAGCAGGTGCCGTCTGCGGGGCTGCAGTCTGCCCCATTGGCACAGGCGCAATTCTCCTGGCAGTTCAGGCCCCACGTCCCGCTGGGACATGGCAGAGTGCAGTCCAGGCCCTGCCACCCTGAGTTGAGAAAGGAGGGGGCTGTCACCTCCCCACCCAAGCCCAGCACAGCTGTCTGCTCCCTCCTCCTAGCATCCCACCCAAACCACCGCTTCCCTGGTTGTGGGGCTAGAACACACATTCCACACGCAGTTGGCTCAGAAAGGCAGCAGGGCTGTTAGGAGAGCTCGGGCTGGAAGCCCGGTTGCTGCCTCCTAGTTCTTTTTTACTACAGGCAGATGATCTCACCTGGGAGAGGAACCAGCTCAGGTGGGGACTGCTGTCTTTGCCCAGGGTGGAGTCAGGCAGCTTATCTGATGAGGGCCCTTTGTTTTGGGGACAGGCTGATTCTCCATTATTAGGCTGGTCACTGGCTTCTTTGCCCACAGATCCATTTCTCCCCTTCCCCTGCTTGGTTCTGTCACAGGGGACTAACTTCAACAGGCTGCATATCCTCTCCCAGGTGAGCTGCCAGTGGGAGACCTGCCCACTGGGGCAGACTTGGGGGTGGGAGCAGAAGAGAGGCCTGTTCGTCCTCTTCCTCTGTCCTGGGCCTCTGGGGTGGTACAGCACCCCTGTTCCTGTCCCAGCTCCCACCAGTGGTCCACACTTGCAGGTTCTGGGAACCCCACTCCTCTTTTTGCCCCTGCAACCTTGGTGGCAGCAGCTTCACCCATGGATGCTAAGGTCTGGATTTCTTACCTTCCTGTGTGCTCGTCAAACAGCGTTGTCACTAAACCCCCTATTATGTGCCTACTCTTGAAGTTCTTGGCATGAGCTTCCTTGCCTGCAAACTGACCGATAGGGGCTCCCTGACCCTGCCTGTGGGTAGGTGGGGAAAGGAGCTACCCCCACTGAGACCCCTCAGCTGGCAGCCCACATACATGGCAATGTGCACAGGCGTGGGGAATGGGCTTGGGAGGGAGGGCACCTTACCTTCCTTGCAGGTGCAGGACCCATCTACTGGGGAGCAAGTGCCACCGTTGTTACAGCTACAGACAGATGAGCAGTTGGGGCCATAGGTTCCTGCTGCACAAGGCACTGCACAGACCTCGCCCTGGAAAGGGAGTGGTGAGTTGTGGATCATAGGCTGCCCAGTGCCAGCTGGCTATGGCAGGCAGGATAATGGTCCCTGCCACAAAGACGTCCATGTTCTAATCAACTACAACCTGTGAGTGTGTTACCTCACATGGGAAAAGGGACCTTGCAGATGTGATTAAGGACCTTGAGACGGGGAGAGTAGCAGCGATTGTCCAGGCAGGCCTGATATAGCCACATGAATCCTTAAAAGTGGAAGACGACCAAAGAAGGGAGGTCAGAGAGATTCCTGGGAAGAAGTCCTCATCCTGCCTGTGTGGACCATGGAGATGGGGAAGGGGCCAGGAGCCATCTGGGATCAACCCCTTTACAGTCAGCAAGAAAATGGGGACCTCAGCCCTGCAACCTCCGGAACTGAATTCTGCCAACAACGAGAATGAGCAGCAAACATTCCTCCCTGAAGCTTCTAGAACACAGCCCCCAACCTCTTGATTTCAATGAAACCCATATCAGATTTCTGACCCACAGGGCTGTAAAATAATAAATTTGTGTTGTTTTAAGCCACCCAACTTGTGGTAGTTTTTTTTCCACAGCAGCAATAGAAAACTAATACACTGGGAGGCTGAGGCGGGAAGCTCTCCTGAGCTCAGGAGTTTGAGACCAGCCTGAGCAAGAGCAAGACCCCATGTCTAGTAAAAATAGAAAACAACAACAACAAAAAGCTAGCTGGGTATTGTGGGGGGGAGGGGTTCCTGCATCCCCAGCTACTTGGGAGGCTGAGGCAAGAGGGTCACTTGAACCCAGAAGTTTTGAGATTGCTGTGAGCAAACAAAAAAAAAAAAAAAGAAGAAGAAGAAAAGAAAACTAATGCAGTTACCCTTATCAGCTGGTGGTGTGGTCAGCCCCTAGACCACAGCACAAGGCAACTTAACCCCAGAGTCTATATTAGATCAAAGAACTTAATCCTTTGCCTCCCAGTCTTATTTAATTCTGACCAACTCCATGACACAAGTAGTAATATCCTATCCCTATTTGCCTGAGCCTCAGAGAAGTGTAAATAATAATAGCTAATGCTTACTGAGTGCTTCCTCAGTAGCATGCACACACTATCTCATTTAATTCCCACACCACTCTCAGGAGATGGAAACTATTGTCTCAGCATTATTCCCACTTAATGTGTAAGAGAAGTTAGGTAACTCTGCCAAGGTCACAGAGCTAAAAATGGTTGCTTTGTTGGAACTCAGGCTGACTGCGTAATTGGAAAGCATTCTCTGAGATGGAGATTAGTGAGCTCTGGACAATAGCCCCTGTGAGAGGGAAGGGAAAAGGACTAGGCTGAGAAGTTGAGCTGAGGTGCAGCTGTAACAGCCTCTGCTGATCTGCCAGGGAGCCCCAGCACCTGGAGGATCCTTAGGGTTGTCCCAGAAGGGGGAAAGGAGAGGGGACCCCCGCCATCAGGCATTTGGCTGTCCAATGTTCCGGGGAGGGGGAGTGAGTCAGCTATCTTTGAGATGAATTTCTGAAGAGGGCCTCAGCTGGGAGCCACTAACTTTCTGGCCTCTGGGGAGTAATAAGTGCCTCAGTCCTGAAGTGTGAATCTAGGTGGCACACTGTAGTGTCCACTATACCCATAAGGGTATGCTGTTAGCACCAGTCAGGAGGTCAGGGTGGGGTCAAGTCAGCGTAGTGGAACCAGGAATAGGGGCTCGAGGCCTTGGGTGGTGGGAGCATTCAGTTAATCAGAGAAGAGTGGAGTAAAGGTGGTCCAGGTAGGGAGGGGTGTGGGCAGGAGTGCAGAGGAGCCCATGTCCAGTGGGTCACACTTGTAATCCTGGCACTCTGGGAGGCTGAGGCAGGAAGATCGCCTGAGCTCAGAAGTCTAAGAGCAGCCTGGGTAAGAGCGAGACCCTGTGTCTACTAAAAATAGAAAAACTAGCTGGGCTCTAGTGGTGGCACCTGTATTCCCAGCTACTTGGGAAGCTGAGGCTAGAGGATCACTGGAGCCCAAGAGTTTGAGAATGCTGTCATTGAGAATGATGTCACAACACTAGTCTGGGGCAACCGAGCGAAACTCTCTCAAAAAAAAAATTTAAAAGGACAAAGGAGGTATAAGAAGGTATGTAAGATATTTTAAAAGGCTAGAAACCTAGGATGTCAGGTACAGGAATTGGGCTTTCCTCCCTGAGTCCCCCAGGACATGCTTGGGAGCCCACTACGGGGCACGAGCTCTGGAGCAGGTGGCCACTGGATGTTGAGTTCCTACTGTCTGCCCCTAGAGGGTGTCTTCAGCCAGCGTCTCACGTCTGATACCTAAGCTTAGCGTGGGACACTGACACAGGGAAGAGCTGGGGCCAGAAGAAAAGAGCTTGTTGGGCCCCACTGGCTGTGTGACACTGAATAGGCACTGCCCCTCTCTGAGCCTCAGTTCCAGCATCTATAAAATGACAGGCTTGAAGTAAAGGAGCTCTCCTCTCAGCTCTAAAGATCCAGGCTTCTGGCTTCACCCCACGTAGGCCACACAGACCTGAAGGTATGGGCCTTTGGCCAAGGAGAGGTTCCTCTCCAGCCCTGCTGTTCTGTCCCGCCCACACAAGGTCAGGTAGGAGCAGCTAGGGAGTGCAGAGTCCTTACCCAGAAGGCCCTGTGGTGCCCACTCTTTCTCCTGCCAGTCCCCAGCAGGCTTGACTGGCTGGAGTCTGTCAGCTTTCCATTACCCAGAAAACTTTCAATTTCTCCATGATTGTGAATAGTCCATAAGCATATATTTGAAGTCTGAGGACTCCGGCCTGGGTGTAAACGGCAGGCACAGCATATGCCTTTCTGTATGTGAATTTGCCTTCAGAAAGAAAGGGTTTTTCTCCCCGCATCCTCATTAGCATCCCCACCTTGCCTGTAGGCCTGTCAGTGGGGATCAGAGAGGACCCCTCACCCTGGCCCTGATCCGTGAGACGAGATGGAGAGTGCCCAGGAAATATCTGCCCCCCAGAATGCAGTGTCAAGACACTGTTTTTCCCCAGAGACGTCCCTGATCTGCCAGGAAGCTCTAGAGCTAGGATTGGCCTGGGTCTCCACAGTAGCCCTGGGAGGTCACCAGGCTGAGAGGGTTTTCTGCTTCCCAGAGAAGAAAAGGGAAAATGAGAAAGGGGGAGTGACTTATCCAGGGCCTCACGGTGAAGGCGAAGGAAAAAGAACTAGATCTTCCTTCCTGAGAGATGGCAGAGTTGAGTGATCAGAGGTGGACTCTGGCATCAACCTGCTTCTACCACTTACTGTGAGACCTTGAACACTTTATTAAATCTCACTGAGCCTCAGTTCCCACATCTGTATAATGGGAATAATAGTGTTCCTGCCTCATATCATTGTTAAGAGGATTCTATTATTATTTGTGAAGCAGTTGGAACACTACCTGGTGGGTAGAAGGTAGTGGGTTATTAGCCCAAAGATATAGCATCTTTTATGAAGACAGTAGAGAAAACCCTCCCAGGTTTAAGCAGAAGGAAGCTCTGGAGAACAGGTCCATTTCTCACTGGACAAGTGCTGGCCTGCTGGAGAGGAGGCAGGTACTCAGAGTGGGTGGGAATCCTGACTCCCCCAATTTACTTTCTTGTCACCTCCTCTGGTCCCTTCCTCACAGCCGAGACAAGCTGGAACTATCACCACCATACACACCATGGGCATGTTCTTGGGGGGGCAGGATGACCACTCCCTGAGAGCCAAGTGCTGTTCTAAGCACATTCCTTTGGTTAGCTCCTAATAGCGAGAAGTCCAAATGGGGAGGCAGACAGTTTCTGAAGTACACAACTCCCCCTCCGCCTTGAACGAATGTAACCTTGGTACAGCTAACTTTGAGTATTCTCCTCTGCCTCACTGTCCTGACCCCCGGGGCTGTCTGAATGCATACTTGGGTTTTTCTTTTTCTTTTTTTTTTGTACAGAAGGGGTATTTCTCTGTTGTCCAGGCTAGGATGCAGTGGCATGAGCATAGCTCACTGCAGCCTCAAACTCCTAAACACCTGGTGATCCTCTTGCCTCAGGCTTCCAAGTAGCTGGGACTACAGGTGCTACCACACCAGGTTAATTTTAATTTTTTTTAGAGATAGGATCTCCCTCTGTTGCCCAGGGTAGTCTCAAACTCCTGGACTCAAGTGATCCTCCTGCTTCAACCTCCCAAGTCACTGGGATGAGAGGTGTGAGCCACCACTCCTGGCTCTGAATACATACTTGGTACTAACACCTCAGTAAGCACACGTAATAACAGTTAAACTTTCTCTTCAGATTCCCTTCTAGCCTCTGGTCTGACAGTCAGACCTAGTCTGCAGTTAACTAGCAGGTCTCTGGTAATTGACATTCACAGAAGCCAGCAATCTGCCTGTCTCAGGTTAGACTATCAGCTCTGCCCACTGCAGGGCTTCCCCTGATCCCGGTCTGGTGATACTGCCTTGATCTGAGGGTTACTAACAGGCCTTAATTGTGATGATCTATGTAGTGTCTGAGTCTGTGTGGGTCATGCTCAGGTAGTCAGAGCACACCACCCATGTGTTTCTGTGTACATTTCTCTGATGTACCTGTTTATTCATCTTTGTAGATCTGGGTATAAATTTGTGACTCCTGCTTCATCATTCCTCCTGGGTGTCTTCCTCAACACTCCTGCCCTGCCCTAGTGGAAATTAGGTACGCACAAGAGACCATCATCCTAGCACACAGGGGTCCTCTTGGCTCACATGCCTACCTCTACCCTGGGGCTGTGAGCTCAGGGAGATGGATCTGCTATTATTCATGTCTAGGTTCTCAGGCCTGGGACTCTGCTGATACACGATGGGCCCTCAGTATATGTTTAACTGAAATGAGATGTTTGTGTGTACACGCTGGCTTATGCTGTGGACAGAGCCAGAAGGACCCGGCACTTTCCATATGCTTTCTCTCACATGCCAGGTGACTCAACAAATGTGTGCTGAGTGGGGCCAGCTCTGAGCCAGCCGTGTTGTAGGCTCCAGGGGCACAGAGGAGCCTGGGACCCAGT